TCTGAAGAGCTTTCCTGCATTTCTTAACAATTTCTGAGTGATCTGAACTCATCAGTAAACAAGATAAAAAACTTACAACAGAATTGTATCCCAACCAATTCGATATAGTGGTTTAGGGTACTTGGCCACTAAGGCGTTGAAATATGTGTCTTCAACCCATTTGACGTCTTTTGAGACACCGTGTTGTTGAAATACTTTGCAGAATTTTTTCACTAAAAATAATAAAACTGAAAATTGCATCAATTTAAGATATCAAGAATTCTGTATATAAGTATGAAGTTACACAGAGAAGCGAACACGTCAAAATCCATCTGAAAAAACCAACAAAATGAACCGACCCCGTCTAATGAAACGCTCTCCATACTCCTCTCGTAAACTGGCATCACAGCAGTCCCATTTGCTCTGCATCATTTCTAGTAAACGTTCTGTATCCTGCATTCCACTATCGAATGATCCTGGTTGTATCAGGATTACGTTAATTCCATACGGTGTCAATTCATGCCTGAAACTTCCATTTCTCCAATGCAGTACGTTCATTGGTAAGGTGAACAATAATTCAAATTCACTTCATTCATCATCTTCTGAATCTTAATGAATATCTTTCATACGAGGTTTCCACCCACACAATGAANAAGATGATCTAAAACTCACGAAAGAGCCTAGCCTTACGATTAATCAATCTCAAGCAACAAAAAAGACTATCGTACATAAACTTCTAACATTCCGCTGATCCCATCAAACCATTACAAAATCCCTGTGAGCAACTGACTTCTTCGGAACATATCATGAGAGCACTTTAGTTAGAAAGTTCCAACCTGATAACTTCAGCATACTTTGAAACAGCCGATTTTGAAGTAGCATATGGGCCATAACTCGGTACTGTGAATAGCGTACAGCCGCTTCCACATATTATCACACGACCTCTGAACAAAGGCATAATCTTGTGATCTTATTGCGATCTTATCGTCAGCGAAAATAATACCATTTCATTATTTTGGTGCTCTCAACACTTTGGTAATTATTGTTATCACTTTTATTGTTTTTTCTGCTAGTATTACCATTTTTACTGTTTTACGAACTATTTTTTTGCTACTTTTGTTGTGATCATATGTGTTATTAGTTATCATACGTTGTTACGGTTATGAACATTGTTATCATCAGCATTTTACCTAATTTTATGTATTTTGACATGCACAATTAATAACAAATATCATCTTTTATTCTTATGGGAAATGTGTTGTGTACGCATCTGAACACAGTTCCTCGAATGAGACTGCTGAAGCAAACTGTCCATCACCAGCGATAAAGATAATCTAGACGCGTTGTTTGCTCTTGATAACTGCACTGGTCAAAAGTTGACTTTAATTGAGACCATCACAATCACGAACTTCGATATGTAGAGGTGTTCTAATGGTAGTGACGAGATGAATATTCCCAACTTGTTCTGAACGGTTACGTCTAACAACATGACACGCCCATTAGGCAGTGGATTAGGCAAAGTGTCCGTTAGACAAACTGTCCGTTA